TTTTAACTACACCAACACCAGTATTTGTTTCAGCTAAACCTACAGGTGAAACTGAACAAAATGCAATAAATATTTCTGCAGATATGGATGAAATAATGAGTACAATTGATACAGGAAAATTATTAGTTATAATTATAGATAATGCTTCAGTAATGAAGTCTGCCTGGAGAATTTAGCTATCAAGTATCCAAATGTTATTTTTATCAGATGTTTAGCACATGCACTCAATTTATTAATTAATAATATTATAAAACTTAATTGGACAAAAAATATAATGTCAAAAGCTAAAGAAATAGTTAAATATTTTAAATTTCATCATATTTCAGCAGTAATTTTAAAATGACATCAAAAAATAACTTATGAAAATACTTGTAATACACTTGAACTTCCAGCAAAAACTCAATAAGAATCTAGTGCAGCTTGTCTTACATTACTTAAAACAAATCAGTTGGCTCTTGGATTAGCTACTCATGAAATTTCAACTAATTCAAATATAATAATAAATGAATCAATTAAAATTAATATATTAAATAAAGATTTTTGGAAAGAAACTACAGAACTTCTTGTAATTCTTGAAGAAATTGCTAAAGGAATTACAATTTTTGAAAGTGATACTTCAAAACTTTCTTATTTTTATAAATGGTATGAAGCTTTAGAAAATTTAGAAGGTGAGTTATTAAATATTATAATATATTAAAATTAATATTGATTAATAATTATATTTATAACTTTATTAGCTATTTCAAATTCATTAATAGCAATACAAATAGATGAAATATTAACTGCAAGATGGGAAAAAATTTATAATCCAATTATGTTAGTTGCTTATTTATTGGATTCATGCTTTTTTGGAAGATGATTACCAAATGATGGCATGAATGAAATCTTAACTTTTATTAATAATTATTATCTTGATAATAAAATTATTATTGAAAGTCAACTTATGCAATATAAAGCAAAATCAGATCTTTTCAGTAATACATTAACATGGGAATGTATTGATAACATTGATCCAATTACTTGGTGGATTGTGAATTTTGCACAAGTAGTGCCTGAATTAACACAATTAGCATGATGTATCTTAACAATTCCAATATCATCTGCAGCTTCTGAACATAACTGGTCAGCTTTTGCAAATATTCATAACAAAAAAAGAAATCAGTTAAGTAGTAAGCACATTTTTAAATTAGTTTATATTTATAATAATTATAAATTACAAATTCTCCAGATAATCAAAAAAAATTTGTCAAAAAAAGCATTAATGATGAAATAAGTGTCAATCAATAATAATGAAAGCAAATATCAGGATAATAATGAAAGTGAATATCAGGATGGTAATGATAAACAATTAATATATCAGATAACAGTGATGATATATTAGAAACATCAAATGATAGTGATGATTATTGATAAATGTATATAATAGTTATAGAAAATAAAATCATCGTATTTGATTACATGTAGATCATTATGTGTATTACATGTATATACTATGCATAGTGATGTACTATGCGCGCATTTGCCCATCTCTAGTTTTAATAGTTAAGAAATTAGAAAATAATAATAGATAAGAATGGAATGAGCTTCTAGGAATCAATTTTATAATTAGTTATTAATTAATAAAAATTCTATATCGATATTGCTTAATTAATATAATGTTCATTTTAATTATCTTTTTATGTCAACGCTGCATGCAAAATCGCGCCCCAAAATTTTTAAATAAAAAAATAACAATATCTTGTTATGATAACTGGTTTGAACAATCTAAAAAAGATTTTAGAATGCAACGCCGTATATAATCAGATGATTTTTTATATATTGGGCAGACAAGTAAAAAAAATGCCAAGAATTCTCACGTATCTGGTATCGGTATGCATGAACAATGTAAAACCTTTTATCCGAATTCGCTGTATGGGGAATTAGAAAACGCGTTCACGCTATTACACTCGATTTTAGAGTTTTATAAATACATATAGGCTTAGATTAAAAACTTGCAAAAAAATTTTTTAATCTAAATAAGACAAAATGTCATCTCCAACTCAGTTATCTTCATCATCACCAATTTCGCAACTAAGCGTAGAGCAATCAGCAAATGCATTTAGTTTGATATTTCCGCTGACAGCAACTCAGTTTGTTGCATCACCAACACCAGATTCTGCAAGTTACGTAGCATATGAAGACACTGGTGACCCTGGCAACAATTTGCCGACATTGTTTTTCGTACCTGGAATCGGAGAGCTTCGACAAACCTTTCGATTGATTGCGCCGCATTTTAATCGAGAAGGACATCGTGTGTTATGTATGGATTTGAGAGGAGCCGGGCAAAGTACTGCAAATTTTAAAAGTTATACGCCGGAAGATGTAGTAACGTGAGTTACTTTTTGTTTGATTTTAATAACATCTTTATAATAATATTAATCTTCGTTTTGATATATTATAATAAGTGATATGATTCAAATTTTGGACCACGCACAAATCAAGAGTCCAGTTGTGATTATAGGGAATTCGTTGGGTGGCGCTTCTGCGAATATTTTCGCCTCAAGATATCCAGAAAAAGTACATAGCATAATAATGCTTAATGGAGTTCTCAGAGATGCGCCATCAGGTAAGCAAAATAAAAATTCTCTAGATTCATTGAAAATTATATAAATCAACCTCTCTTTATTAAATTCAAAAAAAAAAGATAAATTCCTTCGTCCAATCTTAAACTTATTATTCCTTCCTATTTGGGGTTCATCCGCCTGGATAAACTACTGGAAAAACTTATTTAAAAAACAAAGGCCCGTCGACTTTGATAGCTATGCCACAGCATTGAAAAAAAATCTCAGCGAACCTGGTCATCTATATGCACTCAAAAAGTTTGCAACAGCCACCAAAGCGTCGGCATGGAAATGTATCCCTCAGGTCACTTGCCCGGTTTTGGCGATTTATGGCAGCAAAGATCCCGATTACTCGGATCCATTTAAAGAACCAGAGATTGTTAGACCACAGTATGTGAATGCAAAATTGTTTAAGAGTGAGCTTATGGATGGGTTGGGACATTATCCGGTAAGTTTATTATTTAAGAGATTTTTCTTTTAGCTATTTTTAATAATTTTTGTTGTTAATTTAGTATGTCGAAGAGCCGGAAAAGGTTATAAAGCTAATTTCAGAATTTATATATTAACGTTAAACTTACCGATACCGTCTCGTATTTATAAGGTGATTACGTATTTATCATTATTTCATAAACATGTTTATTATGTAATAAATCCAAACATATAGATTATGATATTTTCTTTTTCTATAATGAAGACACACAATTATCGTTATCGATATCGAAAAAATTATATATCACTACCCACAAATGTAATAACGATATTGTACTGTATTTATCAAAATATATTGATTCATGATTATCATATTAATGAGTCAATGGAATGCTGCTTTTGTATATTGTTCATAAATTATTTCACAATTTATACAATTATAATACTAGAATATTAAAAAAAGACTACGCCATTAATTTTATCAAAAATCTTTTTTCACAATCTTATCTTTATCTAGTGCATTGATTCAGTGAGATTAAAGGTTAACGTTAATAAAAAAACTTTAATGCTATCGTTATGCTGATGATTGATATACATGAACATGTACATATGTACTATGTGCATTGTAACGATAATCATTATATTTATCAAAGTAGAGCGTACGACTCACAACAAAAAGCGTTTGAGAAGCAGCAGAGTCAGGATAACTTCAAGCACAAGCTAGACTTGGAAATTGCTGCCAAAATGGAATAGGAACAATCAAAGATGAACAAAAGCATTCGAGTATTACTGGAAAGCAGTAGAATCAGGAGATATTTAAGGACAATATTATCTTGCCTTAATGAAAAAAGCAGAAGACAAAGTATTAGAGTTACTTGTAAAATCTGCTAGTTCCGGTTTTGAAAGAAGTCAATTTTTACTAAGATGTTGCTATGAAAGAAATTTAAATACAAAAAAACAGGATTCAAACATCTTTAAATGCGTCCAAAAATGGGAAATCTTATTTCTATTTTCGAAGGTTATGAATTTTGAGAAGGGACAAACAAAGATGATAATAAAGCATTTAATTGGTATTTAAGTGCGGCAGAGCCTGGGCGCAATAAGGCTCAATTTAATCTTGGTAAATTTTATGACCATGGAATAGGTGTTCCCAAAAATCTTGATTTAACATCAAATGGTATCAAATGATATCTAAAGAAAACGGTCATGATCGAGCTTCAGAAATGGTGGAATCATTTTAATTTTGAAAAAATTTATTCTAATTGGTAGTTAAACATTTTGCTACTTTGTAACAATTAACTTTAATTTAAGTAGAAGATTTGATGTAACTTTTACAATATTATATATAGCTTAATTTTCAGTTTTTTTTAGCATTACTAGAATGTATGATCAAAGACTTTGATAAATCACAGTGCATGCTTTTAGTATGATTGGTGCCGTCCAACATTCCAGCAACCACATTTTCGACATATCATAACCTCACAAATGAAATCCTGAAATTTCCAACATCCATCCCGAAACTTAGCATCCCAAAACCCATATTTAGTAATCCTAACATTCCGAATACCAATTTCACGAAAACCCGAATATTCTACATTCCGAAGTTCAAAATCCAAAGTTGCAATATCTTCGGATAAGTGTCGGTTTCTAGTTCAGAAGATAATAAAAAAGTTTCATTGTCATACTATGCGTCTTATACGTTTTATCGTGGGACTCAAATTATTGACATTTGCGTGCCATCAATCCCCTATGATAACGAGATATTTGTTTGATTACCATTTAAATAAAATAAAACTCGAAAATCGCATAAACAAGTCACAAAAATGATTGCAAAATTGCTAAAATGGATTATATAGTTATCTGAAACATAATCATTTAGTAGATACTACAAGTATGTACTGAACAAACGGAATTTTTCATTATATGTACCATGCCAGATACATCGACATGTAAATTTTGAGGCGTTAGTCAATTTTTGTTGATTACATCTTTTATTGTTTCGTAATGAGAAATAATGCAAAACTCACAGAATTTCAACGCAAACAAATAGTTGGGTTATGAAAAGTAGAAAGTACTTTAGCTATTAATAATTTTATTTAATTTGTTAAAAATCCCGAAAAAAAGCTTCTAGAGTTAGTATTAAAAATTTCCGAAACTTTTGCATATTATGTAAAGAATTAAAAAATTAACAAATGTTTCAAAGAAAATAACAGTGGCCAGTTATAAATTTTTAATCCTCATAAAATTAAATCCAAATAAGAGCAATTAAATAAACCAAATGTTAACTTTAACTGGCAAGTTGCTTGCACGTGTAACACCTGATAAATACAGTGGATAGGAACTCAATATAAGTTACAAATCTTATATCAGCAGCGAACCTGACAATATCTACATATAGCAGCATCCAAATTTACGCGGTTATTGATTGGCGAAGATCTATCAACCAAGCATTGTGAAATTTAGTCATTAAAAAGTTATCAGATACATGTAATGGCGAGAATATATTAAGTAACATCTCTTTTTATGCTAAACCAATACATTTCTTGATACTGTATTATAAATACAGCATATTAACTTTGTCATTTTCATGTTGCTATTTACGTTTATTTACTGACAATAATCCAATTGCTTTTTGAATTTACATTATAAAATATCCAGTTATCTTCTATTCTATATACTCTTATATCTCCAGTTAATATGATTTCCTATTCAAAAATTATTATTGCGCACTTCTGGGAATTAGGAATTAGGGGATTTAGAGGGTAAGTACAGTAAGATAAGTATAAGAGCGAAATTGAATGATTTACACACAAAGGATTTCTTTATTGTTCTAAAGATCTCTGTGGTAATTTGTACGCAAATCAGCCTTTCAAAAATGTTAATTTTTATAACAATCAATAGAATAACGACATGAATGTCAAGAAACATCGATTTAGAATTCTAAAAACATGTATTACTAAAGTTATATGTTTCTCAAGAAATTGACTGGGAATTGATAGTCGTAAAAATAAAAATCATAAGGATTTGTAAACTTACGAACCAGTGTCGATTACATTCTAAATTAACTAATTCATTTGATTAGTGTCAAAAAAAATGAATCTGCTACTTTAAAATGAAATATTTTGATATTTAGTGATCTGATTTGAATAAAAATAATATTATTTGATTCATCTTGACTAAACAAATCAAATAGTTGTAATTAAATTGTTAGATATTAAGATATGTGTTATGAAATAATTGATTATATTTAAAACATGAAAATTTATGAATATATAATATCTGATATAGAAGTTCTATCAATTTATAAAAGATATCATGATTAGCATTTGTAATATTCTTTGTGCTTGGAAAAATTTGATACTTTATACATGATTTACAAAAGTTAGAAGAGATTAGATACTTTTGCAAAGCACTATATTAATACTTTTATAAAATTTTCTTTATTTATTAATTATTTAGTTTTAATTATTATATAAATTTATAATATATAATTTTTAAAATATTTATAAATAAATTTAGAAAAGTTAATTCTCTTTATAATTATCAAAATAAAATTAATATATAAGTTCATATAAATTTAAATAATTTAATCAACAAGATTAATATTTAAGTAATTATAAGAAAATTTAATTTTATTAGTTTTAATATAATATAAACCGACTGATTAGATTTAATAAATATATATTATTTTTATGATCTTTATAAAATAGATTAATTAAGAAATATGAATACTTTATAAATATAATATAAAACTTAATATTTTATTTATTAAGTATTATAACTCTTTAAAATATCTTAAATTAAAAGATTAAAATTTAAGAAATATTAATAAAAGAATAAAATAAATTTCAAAAAAAATAATTAATTTCAATTTTAACTAATATAAATTTACTTAATTTAGATTTAATTAAGTAAAATTTGTATTAATTTAAAAATTTATAGTTATATCTTTTATAAGAACTTTTTATATAAAAATAAATTTATATAAGATATTAAAAAATTTTCTCTTTATAAGATATAATTATAAAGTTTTGCAAAAATAAAATTTTTTTAATTATATTCACATAAAAATAATATTCTATTTAGTTTAGATCAATTCATAATCTGAAATAATTTATTTTCTATTTGAATTATTATTTTTTAATTAGAAAAAATCAGATCAAATTTTAACTTTTTAAATTTATATTAGATCTGAAATAATATAATCTAATAGTTTAAATTAATTCAATTTTGATTAAGAAATTTATATAAATTATTAATAAATATACTAAGCTTAAATTATTATATATATATATATATAGAGTTTCTAGTAAAAGTAGTAGCACATAATATTTTTGTTTATATTTTAATAATGAAGCATCCAAAAATTTGTAAATATATTCTTTAGAATATTATAAAAAGATTCTTTAATATTACAAGATATATTATCTTAATAAAAGTTTGTAAAATTTTGTGTCAAATATAATTGGACTAGATATCTATATGAAATAACTTTGGAAAAAGAAATTATTTAAAAATATTTTTAATAAGTAATTTTGAAGTTTGAAAAATTTTTAATAAATCCAGTTAAAAAAGACTTTATTTTAATAATATTTATAAAAAATAATAATAAAATATGAATTAGTATAAAAAAGATTTATATCTCAGATAAATATTAATTTTTTAAAATAAAATTTTAATTCTGTCTTATTTAATTAAGTTATTAAATATCGGAATTTATTTAAATATAAAAATTTTTATTATATATCTCTTATAAAAAATATTTTTACTAATAATAACTTTTTTTAATTATTATTTCTTAAATTTTACTATATAAAATTTAATTAAAATTAATATATAAAAAATATTATATATTACTACTTATAATATCTTCAAAATATAGTATTTTCTATTATTAAGATCCAGTATTATTCAGATTTAATTTTTGTCAATTCTTGATTAGTACTTATTTATTATATAATATCTATAATATAATATTATCTGAATAAAGTATCTGATTTCACATAAAGTATTCAAAATACTATTTAATTTTAAAGACAGATATTTTTGATTAAGTTCTGAGATACTGTAAGTAGTACTATATGATAATTTAATTAACTAACTTGAAACTTAAAATTTTTTTAACTACTAATTCACT